TCGCGCGGTTTTGACGGTGCGGTTTTGTTACCGCGCTTTAGTCACACGCGCTTTAGTCTACCGCGGTTTTGTGGTGGAACCATTATTTAGATGTTCTTGAGAAGATTGCTAATATGAACGATGAGGGCAATTGTGCAGTAATTGGAACCACCCATTTTTGGCAGTGGAATAAACACTGATTTTTCCCCAATCTTTTGCCATGTGTTAGAACTGTTAAAACAATTACTGCCAACCTCCCTTCCATTGAGGACCTGTACACTGCACGAGTTCAGGCTGTGAAAATATTTACAGACCCCTCACATCTTGGACATAAATTGTTTCAACTTCTACCCTCAAAACTATGCTATAGAGCACTGCACACCAAGACAATTTCTTATTTGTACCCTATGACTATCATTAAGTGTTGCACATTATGATTCTTGACGAATGTATATAGTCTTTTTATGTATACTGAGAGCATATGCACCAAAGACAAATTCCTTGTGTGTCCAATCACAAAGAATTCTATTCTGTTCTATTCTATTTCCCAAATTTTTTGGTACAAGTCTGTGATGGTTGTGAGTGGTACAGGGTTCAGATATTCTGCATGAATGGTAACACCTAGGATCTAACAAAGATGACTTCTTCCTGAAGGATGACTATTTATGCTTCCCTTTCCTCATGATCCTGAGGAAGTGGGCCTCTGTTGTTGGCAGGCAGTCCTTATGTATATTCTTGCAATCTGTTTTTGATGCTTTGTTGGTCCGGCAATTCTTTCCCTTTATTGCAATGATGCTTTTATGAGCAGTAATTGTGTTTGAATCCTTTTGACTTGTACAAATGCATTCCCGCATTTCACTCAAAAGTAAGTAGATTGAGTATAATAGGGATTACAAATCAGTGAGAATAAGATTGCAGTTTTATGTCATATTCTTTTTTTCATATAATCATGGCACCAATATACTGGTGAAATATAGCTTGACTGTTACTTTCATTTTGGCCTAATGTGAATTAGATAAATTTAAGCTGTCCATTACTGTATTGCTATACAAATGACCCTTATTTAGTGACAGTTGGGATCAGCAATTTGTTGTTAACCAAAGCAATCACTAAATGAAACCATAGCTGTGTTTATTATCTTATTACTGTTTTCCTTTGCTTTCCAGATATATTTGAGGACTGGTCACAAAGATACTTTCTCATCAGTCATAAGAGCAAATGATTGCTGCATGAAGAAATCACTAAATGAGGACTGTAGGTAATAGAGCTACTGTTTAATGGAAATTGACAATAGGAACAGCAAACTTCCTATTGAGTGAATGTAAAGGAAGGAAATATAAGGGAAGGGAAAACTACTAGTCTAGGACTGGGAATATGGATTATAGAATAGAATAGAATATTTCTATATTCTATTCATTTCCAGTTTTAGCTGCAACTTCCCTGTTGGATTACAGCAAATACCTCACCATTCTGTTCTATCCTTCCACTAGCCATCCAAATGTTTCTGGGAAATGTGTTAGTGCCCTTTAATTCATGCTAGCTAGTCATTAGTATTCCTGTAATGGTAGCCACTAATCTTATCCCTCATGAATTTGTCTAGATTCATTTTAATGCCATCAAATTACACATCATTACCTCAAAGTTGCAATTTTCATCTTATCTACGGTATATGTTCAAAACTTTTTCTTTAATCCCTATCCTCCATCATTATCACCAATTTTAGTTCTCATTTACAGTATCTTCTTTATTCCATGTACTCATTTTGATAAAGTTGTAACTCACAAAATTTATCCCTTTTAAAAACTATTAATCTATCAGATTCCTTCTGTTTTTTTGGTTTTTCATGTATTTTCTGCCTGCCTGTCTTTCTCTCTACCATATATAAAATAATAGCCTATATTATAACATCATATATATAACTTATCCTCATTTTAGATTGAAAAGCCCCAAATATAATTTCTCTTCTCGGGAAAACTGTTCCTAGATAAATGGACTTGTCGTATTCTGCACCTTTTCCAATTCTGCATTAGTTTTTAAGTGTGGTAAGCAGAACTGTAAACTATAGTCAGTGAATGGTTGCAGTCACTCATATGTATAAAGATATTTCTATTTTCATTTTACTTCTTTTGTTAATGATCTCTGACAATAGGGTAGACACCCTTTGTGACAAGTAGGGGAAGGAGTACTTTGACTGTAAGGTAAGTTGAAATAAACCAAAGAGATTGTAGAGTTAAAAAAACGTTTGGGAGCAAAGAAATGAAGTATAAGATAACACAAGAGATTTATTTAAATTCATCAAATTTAGATACTGCCATCTCACTCACTCCTTTGTCATAGCCTTGTTATATCCAGCAAAAATGAAGTCATTTTTGATACACTTGCCAGTGTCAGAGATAATTGTTCCTGCGGTCATAAAGGGAGGATGGAAAGTTGTACAGCTTCCAAATGTTTCCAAGTCCAGCATAACTGATGAAGGCCCTGAAGAAAATTTAACCAATTTGGAATGGCAGTCGAAATATTGGACTAGTGATTGTAATAACAATCTATTCCCAAAATAATAATTTCCACTTTCCATTTTTTTCTAAATGTGAATTACTAATTAGAAGTTAGTACTGGTAAAAGTAGCATGATGCACACTAGTCAAATTCTAAATGCAATAACAGTCCAATAGAAGTACCGCAAAGGTTTCAAAGGCACATTTCCTTCCAATCTTAAAATTAGGGCAGACTGAGCTGTCTGCAATTTAGTGAATTATAGGGCAATCCTAGAATATTATCTAATGTAGCAATTTAGGACTAGGTTTACTTACATGAGTTTCAGCCTCTGGCCATCAAGGTTTCTAATAAATTGTTATTGGTTCCAAGGTGTGCTGTCATGGTTTCAGTGCTAGACATAATGATAGCCTCTCAAGACAATGCAAGAATTGCATATGGCAAATAGATTGTAGAAGCCTTTAAAACAATCAAACCTATCTTGAAGACCTGTATTTTGAGGTAGAACCTGCATATATTTAAGCCAACATGAGCTGCTCAGTTATAACATTCCCTAGGGAAAAGCTATTTAATATTTTGTGCCTCAGTACAGTAAGTCCATGCTTGCAGGGAGGCAGGCTTGGGTTGGGGATTTTTTGATATACATTTGTTGATAACTGAAGGAAGGTTTATTCATCTTTCTAATGGATCGAGTTTTTCCTTCTGCTGTTTAGAAACTAAACGATTGCAATTCAGTTAGTGCCTACAGATGTCAACACCTGAACTGCGCGATTTTATGGGGCCAAAATCAAGCCACTATTTACTTTCTAACTCCCACATCTGGAAATATGTTCTCCTTTGGAGAACATATATGTTCTCTCATAAACCCGCGGACCTAGCCATGAGGGGATGTCGGTTTGGAGGACGCGAGGGGAGGGTTGAGCAATGGCGAGGCTAGCAGGAATTCGTAATGCGAGGAAGACCAAATTTTGGGGCTTCGGGCTTTCACACGCGGGAGCCCGGAGGAGGAGGCAGCGAGGATCCCGGGAGCATTTGCCGAAGGAGTGGATATGTTGAGGTCTGGGGCTGGTCTGGAGGGAGCGCCTCGAAAAGCGAGATTGCAGCTTTTCAGCCGGCGGTGACCCTTATGCTGCGTCTCTCTCCCTGCGTCAGAGTTTGCCCCAGGCAGCCACTGAGGGGAGAGCGATCCCTAAGCGCCTTTCTCCCAGTCAGGGCTCCGGTCCACCCGTCTTCTCTCAGCTGCCTCTTCTCCCCCGCCCCCGGCGCCCCATGCCGTCTTTCTGCCCCAGAGTGCCGCATGCCCTGCCTGGGCGCCCTCGCTCCCCCACAGCCTCCCAGTCGAGGTGACTCCAGCTTGTCCCCTTCTTCCTTGATCCGTGTCTCCGACCCCGCTCTGACGTAGCGGGAGACCGAAGGGGGGGTGGAGAGGAGGAGGAAGAGGAGGAGGGATGGATGACTCACAATGTTATGATGCGGTTCCACAACACACCGCCACATTCGGCTACAGACGGTGCACAAAAACAGCCCCCGGGCTGCTCTGAAGCTGCTGCTGCTGTTGTCCCCTTGCTGCGACCCCGCGCGGAGCCCCAGCCGGAGTAAGCAGCGGCGGAGAAGAATCCCCCGGGAAGCAGGTTTCAAGGTGAGCAGCGGAGAGGGCAGAGCAGGCGCCGCCGCCGCCGAAACTTTCCCTCCCCTCCCGCGGCGCCTGGCCGTCCCTTAGCCTGGCCTAAGAGCCATCTTTCACTAGGCAGCGGAGGGGAGGGAGAGAAAAGCCGCCAACCGGTCCGCCCTTCCATCCTCTCACCGATAGCCCCGCCAGGAGCGAGTCCCGCGGGGAACTTCCCCACGCCGCCTTTATTTTCTTTCCGCGCAGGCAGCCACGTGAGTCAGACTCTGCGGTGATTAACGCGGTCGGTCTTCGTGCTCCTCCCACTTTCACTTATTTTCTCGCCCCCTCCTCCTTTCTTTCTCTCCCCCCCCCCGCTCCGTTTGTTGCTTCTTCTAAGAAAGGAGGAATGGGGGGGGGGGTAGAGAATGACAAGCGACGCAATACAAGTTGCAACCGGGCGTAGCGAGACGATTTTTTTTTTACTGCATTAATCGAAAGCCGAGCGGCTAGGAACCTGGAGTCGCTGACAGGCTCGACCCCCTTCCTACGTGTGATTCGCTGCGGGACGGAATGAGGGTTCCGAATCGCAAGGAGACAAACGCGCAGACAGGGGGAGGGGGCCTTCCGAAAAGTCAGCTTACTGAGGTGTAATGCCTGTTTCTTACCGGCAGAGAGCGAGCTCGAGGGGGTGGAAGCTGTCAGAACTGGGGAGTAGGCGACTTTGAATGAATGTGCACGGTGAGCCGTATTATTGAGTCCCTGGAAGAGGACTTTCTAAAGCACGGGTGATTGGGGGGGGGGCATTTAATAAGTAGGAATGCGTTGGGGAAAGATGCATTATCGGTAGCTAGCAGCTACTCAGGAGACCTTTAAGAAAGAGGTCTGTGCATTACAGTAATTAAACTGAATGCTGGCTTGTCATACTAGAAATAATATAATGAAATAGCTTTTGGCAGGTTGCATTTTTATGTACGACAAGAACGTCTTCAAATTATATGGCTGTCTGTCTCAACATCATGACTGATGATATTGATGATACTGGGTTACTGACATAATGTCTTACAGTATATGAGTGTTACTGTGTTAAAGGACAAAACAATCAAAAACTTTCTAAATCAGCTGGACGATTAAGATAAAAAGAGTAATGCTTTTATTTCAGGTAAGGAATCTGGTTCAGCCCAAATTTTCAGTATTAAGCACACTTACTTAAGAAAAACATAGTTGAAGAAGTTTGGAAAATATTTTTAAAAAGCATAATTTATTGTTTTTACACTCATTGACAGGGAAATAATTCATCATTATTACGGCAGTTGAGCATCTATTAGAAGGGATCTATTAGAAGGGCCAGGGAAAAATGAAATCTAAACTTCTGTAGTTTTCTTCATCTTGAAAGAATTCATGAAACTGGTTTGTAGAACAATAATGTGACTTGAGGATCTCCATTCAAACAGCTGAAATCACTGGAAAGAGTTTTGTTTGGTGCACCATCAACTTTAATGCTTGTTTTGAACATGCATGACAAGGTCCATTCCTTCCTTTCATTTCCCAGCCTCCAATGGTCCAAGGTTTGCATTGCTCCTTTGCTTATTCCTTTCCCTTTTCTCTCATTAGGTGTCTCCCCTTTCGGTCTGGATCTCATCTGGGGGGGCCCTGACAGTGCAGCCCCCCCAAACTTCACTTTTTTGAAAAACGGCTCTAGCCAATCTGCTTCGCTGCTTCACTTGTGATCGCTTATGTGGGGGCTGCACAGCACCAGCTCCCCCACCTCGACAAGGAATCGCTCTCCAGCCTGTCATGCCCAGCTGTGAGCCAGTGCCACCAGCCGCCTGTCTCCCTACCAAAACTTTCCGCAGTTACCTGCCCCGGTGCCACCGGACTTACAGCTGTGTCCACTGCAGGGCACACTTGGCCAAACATGATGAGCTTATCTCCAAGGTACGTGTGCTCTCACAATCACAATGACAAGCTTAGTTATACCTATCATTTACCTATGGCCCAACCAGACTCTGGCATTATGCTTCCTCACAGCATTGCCTATTCTGGGGTATCTAACTGCAGCTTCTGGGATCCCCCAGCAGTATCAGTCTGTCTAGGAACAGCTTGATCTTTCTTACAACCTGGGATCCCTACTGAGCGGTTGGGTTTGGGAAGGGGATTCAATTATCTTATAAGGGAGAGGACATAACTTTTATACTTTATTTCCACAGTCCTTCCAGGGAAGTCATGGTCGTGCCTATCTTTTCAATTCTGTGTGAGTGTCCTCCTGCAATTGGTTTTATTTGGTGGGAATGGGATACAGGTGAGGAGCATGCAAAGTGGAAGCAGGCAAACATACGGGTTTTTGCCTTGCAATGGAAGAAAATTGTTTTCTTGCAAAAGAGGAGAATTTTAAGTATTGGGATATCTATATAAATATAGAATAGAATATATAAATATATAAATATAAATATATATATAAAAGTAAAGCTTTTGGAGTGAGATGTATAATTCAGTATTCCTCCAAATAACCTGCATATGACATATATCTGTCATATCTCACTCAGTATCCTCTGTATTACAACAGTCTTACAGTTGTCGCTCATCTGCCTCCTTCGGTCACAATTTGACTGAATCGTGAAATAGAAATAGGGAATAACACACACTATAAATAGGCTTTCCAGCAATATATTTGCACATTTCTGTCTTATTTTTGCTTTTGATATGTTACCGTTGTCATTCTTTAACTTGGCAATGGACCTCCAATATCATAGCATTTATTAAACTTTATAAATGGAATCCAACCTATTGCACTCTATTATTGGAATTTTCTCTCAGCTCCATCACCCAGAGGAAGATACATTCTTGGTTTTAAAGGATGGTCTACTCCTGATTCTAATTATTGGAGATAACATCTCCCCTTTCCCTATGATCTATGCATTAATCAGTTCCTAGAAAGTGGTATCTTTCTTAACAATGTCTTTTTCCTCAAGTATAACTCCCATTCCTCTGTTCTTTAAAAGGATCAAATTAATTCCCAATTCACATACAAAGTTTGATACGATTACTGAAGTTCCATTATACAGAGATTTGAAAATTACTGATTAGCCTCCTGATTTATACGGCAATACAAATGTTTGTAATGTATACCAGGGGTCTTGAAACTTGGCAACTTTTAAGAATTGTGGACTTCCAATTCCCAGAATTCCTTACCAGCACGGCTGGTTGAGGAATTATGGTTATTGAAATCCACAAATCTTAAAAAGTTACCAAATTTGAAGACCTTGATGTTTACAAATAGAGCTTACAGTACAGGTGGTTTTGACAAATGTATCATTTTCATTCTCTTTATTTCCAATTGGCCTTCAGCAGAAGAAAGTTCAAGTACAACTCAGTGAGACTGTCAGAGATGCAACATACCTCTGACATGGATAGTGATCCCAGCCAAGCAAATTGTTCTGGAGCAGATTCCTTTGGCTCCAGAAATAACCACTCTTCTTGAAGTGAAAGGAATATAGAGGTTGACTATATTGACTATAGCAAAAGATCTGTTTGACCACCTCTGTTGGAAATTACGAACTATCCATATATTCTTATTTGGCAGTCCCGATGAGTTTTCTCCATTAGTTATTCAAGAGCTGACTAGTAAGTAAGTGATGGTTACATTGCTCCTGTGATAATCCTTATCTGCTTTTGCCTTCAAATGTGATAGTGTGAAATTAATCAAAATAGAGTACTATTTTTTCCTGGTTGATTTTCAAATAGTTGCACTGCAAAACCTCCATCCTTATTACATAGCTCTGCATAACAGTAGTTAGAAATAAAATGATGGTACCTTTCACCTCAGGAAGGGGAGATTGATAATGTAATAGAACCCAAATAATTGTAAGATCAAGTTAAACAATATCTAACTTCTTTTTTCTTTTTAGCAGAATGTCCTGACTCCATTTTACAGGATAATTTATCTACCTTCTTGATATGTATTAATTTAAACCAAACCATTAGTTTGAAATGTTTAAATAGGCATGCATGAAAATGTGGACATTTTCATGTAGAGCTTTTTGTTTTTAGCCAAATTCACAAAACAGTCAGGAAAACGAGAAATGGAAATGCACAAAATTAGTAATTCCCTTGTTTCAGTAGATTAAATAGAATTATCCAAATTGTCTCTGCCTAGACACTTGTAATCAATAGAGTACTATTGATGTGGTCCAATTGTTAATATTCTGAGCACAACATACTGCCTGTAGACCCTTCTTTTTGCCACTGGAGGCTGCTCTGAGATTAAATTTAGAATCCATTTTCTATTTCTTGTGTTGGGTTTTCAGATTTCCTGGCAAAATGTTTATTTTTTCTTTATACAGTGTAAATAATTATTGTAAAATGCCCACACTGTAAAATCTATTCATTGCATTGTCATCTGAAACTGAAACTACTAAACTATTATAGCCAAGAAAGTAAATCATAGTCCAACTAACATATATTCATAAGAGTTACTTGAAAAAAGTACTTTTGTGTTTTAAAAAAACTTTCTCCTATATGATCACTTCCGATATCATAGGACAGAGATATTCTTCATCCTAGTTTTTTTTGCAAGCTATTGGCAGGACAGAATTGGGGCCATATTCATGGCAAAAACAAAATGAGATGTTGACTTTTGATTTGATTACAGGGTTAATGTGGGCTGTGGTCCAGCAGAGCAACGTCTTCTGCTCACTGGTCTCCATTCAGTTGCTGATATATTTTGTGAAAGCTGCAAGACTACACTGGGATGGAAATATGTGAGTAAATTCCCTTCAGAAATGTAATTCTAGCAATCAAGTTTTTGGAAAGTGCTCAAGGGAGATTCAGGAAAGCAATATTTAAAGGAAAATATTTGTAGCTTGCAATTGAAATGAGGGGCCCTTGGTGCACTTGGAACTTGGTTATTTTCTTGCAGATGTTTCATTACCCAAACTAGGTAACATAATCAGCACTATCAAAGCAATCCTTGTGATCCTATCCAATTGGGAAGACTAGTGCAAATATACTAGCATTTGTATGACCACTCTCAAAACCATGGTGCTCTGAATTTATGAATGCCAGTAGTTGCTTGTCACACCGTTCCAATGGAAATATGATTCTTCAAGCTTTGCTATATTTCTCCTACTATTTAATCGCATATAGATAGCAAAGTTATATTTTTGCTAGTTTTAGAGAGGGAGAGGCATTCTCTAAAGTAGGTGGGCTCATGGCTAATAGGAGAGAATATTTGTAGGTGGGGCTGAGCTGTGGAATCCTTGATGTTGAGCTTGGTGTTTGTTTGCAGACCTTTCATTACCCAACTCAGTAACATCAGTTTTAGTGCTGCGTTTGTATCTCCTATTTCCTTCTTTGCCAGGAACAAGCCTTTGAGACCAGCCAGAAGTACAAAGAAGGGAAGTACATCATTGAGATGTCACATATGGTGAAGGACAATGGCTGGGACTGAGAAAGAAGTCTGGGTTCATGCCCTCCTGCGTAGCATGCCATGCCCTTTCGTAACCCCATTGCCACAAGTGGCACCCCAGCACAACCAACCCAGCTACCCTTCCATCAATCTCCTGCACAGCATCATCCAGGGGAATGGAGCTTCCAGGATCTTTCTCCCAAAGCTTCTTTCTGAAATGCTGGACTCACTGTTTGGAGGACTCTACCTGTCCCCTAGACCAGAAGAGGAAACATGCAGGTGGTAGAGAGTGGGAGATTTCGGATTGGTTTCCCCTTAGCCTGTATAGGTTATGTTACATCCTGTTAGCACTTGTCTGCATAATACTGTGGCATCCAGAACTGAGAACCTGGAATCAGGTGTGAATTTTGCAGTCCATTGTGTAAGAAAAAACAAAATACTTAATGCAATGTGACATAAAATATGCTTTGGAGGCGGGTCAACAGATCAGTTTGATGCATAAAAGCCAGAGATCATATCCAGTATCTCTAGCTTAAATAAAGAAGGGCTGTGACAGGACTTCCACTACTGGCATGGCCCTAGATAACTGTGGACAGATAATGTTGATAGCATTGAACTGGATAGGGCAGTGATTCTGTGCATTATAAGGCACTTTCCTGTTCTCCTTTCTGAGGAGAAATTAAGAGTTGTACATCAGCCTACTGATATTGGGAACTGAAGGTTGGATGACGTAGATCACGTGGGGAGATAAAAGATATCCTGAAGTAGGGGACAGAGGAACAGTCTCTCCAAATGGCAGTTGCCGGTCCCTTTCCCAGACTCTGCAATGGTATTTTCCTTAGGTTTATTCTATGGAGTCCATTAATTTAGGTGTGAACCACCGTGTGCTTGTAATCCCTGAGCACTATGCCCCGCTTCCTCAACTCCCTTACCATACAAAAAGGATGGGCAGTGGGGTGGGGTGGGGACAACACTTTAGCACTGTCACCAGCGCAGGAATTTTTTTGTATAATAAAATTGTTTTATATTTTAAAACAAGCAATCCATACTATCAATAGTTTCTGTCATCCCGCTTCCTTTTCAGGTTTAGTACAAAGCCAGAAGTTCTGTTGATGGCTTTCTGCTGGTTAAAGTTTCCAACAGGCACAGAATCCAGGAATATTATCCAACTGCATAAATTTGAAATATTCATACCAAATCATACAAAAAAAAAAACCAAACCAGTTATGTTTATCCCTTCAGACAAAACTGCATACTCAAAATTATCATAATCTGCAAATCGGCTCAGATTATACCTGGATCTTGTTTTATGAATAGAGTTATTTCCTTTTCCATAATCTTTAACCATCTTCTAGAGCACAAAGGATACCCAATATATGTGAGCAATCAACATTCGATGGTAGGTTGCTATATTATCTCAAAACAGACAACAGAAAAATGACCAATATTTCAGTTGCTGCTCGAATACCAAATGTTGGTATCCAATTTATCCAAACCCAGCAACTGAAAACTCCTCTAAAAGGAGTGAATAGATAGCTCTCATCGTAGAAACCACTGTTCTAGCAGGACAAAATGGGTTTTTTTTTCTCTCTTTCCATTATGCCTCTTGTAACAAGTCTCCATGCCTGGCCTTTCATCTTTACCATCAATGGAAGTATAAAGAATTCATGCTGCTGTGGCCACCAACCCAATGCCCTTTTTACATTGCACTGCTTGGTCGGTCTCAGTAGCACAATGTGAAAAGAGCCTCGGGCAGAGGCCGTGCCCAGTGCATCCGAAGGCCCTTTGCTTTGTCCACAGGAACAAGAGAGTTACCTTCTCATAATCTCACTGAAGGGTGAAAAGGATCACACGACAACTGTGATTTATTTTATCAATGTACTTTTTTTAGTACGAGCTTCTATAGAATACTGGGCTGCTGCACGGTGCACATTAATCAAATCATTCTCTTTAGTCTTCATCCAGCAGGAGTATCCAGTTTTATGTTTCAAGAAGACTGTTCGGGAATTCAACCTAGAAAAGGGAGGGTAAAATAAAGGGAAATAACGTGCATCTACCATCAAGTCTTCTTTCTTACTACAACATAGTTGCAATCCTAAAGCAGTGTAGGAGTTTTAACTCTGCCTTGGAACAGCATTACACAAAATAACCAGTTCTCTTTACAAGATTTTAAAAAATATTTAGAATTCATAGTATAAGTCTATATTCAAAGAAAAAGCGTCAGTTATAAAATAAGCAGTTTCTCAGCTGCATTACCAAACAAATAAGAAGCACAAAGCCTGAACCTTCAAAATCAGTCTCCCCAAAAATTTAACTGCCCCCCCCGAATTCTTCAACAATTATCACTAAATTTGAATTTGCAATACAACGACAGATTTTTCTTATATGAAATCCTAACAGTCACCTTACTTATACATGATAAAACTAAGCCCTGTTTCTTCTACATTCATATCTTTATAAATATTTATCTATAGTAAATCTTAAGACAATCACAGTTGATTCAAATTACAATTGATTTACCCTTTATCTCATCTAGACAACTATTGAGTCCCAAATGACCAACTTCAGAATAATGAATATAATTAATTCATATTTTTCTGGATGTAATTTTTTTTACACACAAGTTTTGCCTCTACTTCACATCTTCTGAATTAAAATGTGAAGGACCAAAATCAACCCATTTCCATCATATAGTTGAAAAAACAGGAAAAAAGGAAAGAAAAAGCCTACAGCCAAGCCTATTTCTCAATTCTAAGCCATTGTAGCTATGGACACTCATGGGAGAAGGTGAGCACAAAGGTCTTTGGGTCATGATATCATTATCAAGAACAGAAATCATAAGCCAAGGTGGTTCAAATGAATAAAGGTTTATTGCATGCTAACCCTCTCTACAAGAATCTGAACTACTAATGGTTAGTCAAATTGGCAATAAATAAGGTTGAATGAAATTCAAGGTGGGCTGGATCATTAGATCACTTTGTGAGTGTGAAGGGACTCCAGACTGATGATGCTTAGCCTGGTTCTTTCCTACATCATCATGTAAACAACATATTTCACAAGTATATAATTTATGTCTTCAGTCCAGGATAGTTGCGCTCCACCATATTTTGATACATTGTGGCTTCCACTGGATGTCTTAAATTCTCTATATTATTCAATACACAAGAAACCATATATACATATATACATATATACATATATACATACATACATACATACATACATACATATATATATATATATATATATACACACACACACACACACACACACACACACACATACATACATACATACATATATATGAATGATACACACACATACAGGGCGGGGCATAACCTTTTCCTAGGGGGTCACAGCAACACTTGTAATAACAACACAAATAATTCATACACCATTCGAAAGCCCATCAAAAACTGAGTTTATTGACACGATTTAATAGTCAGTATGACCACCATTAGCCCTTCGAACAGCATTCAAACGAGGTGGATAAGAACACAACAAATCTTCAAACAGTCATTATTTTGCAATTCTAGGGCGGGGCATAACCTTTTCCTAGGGGGTCACAGCAAGATTGACAGCAGTTTACAACTTCTGCGACACCTCATTTTAAAGCCCATAAAAAACTGAATTGAATGAGCTATTAAATGTTAAATTTGCTTTAAGAATGGCTGGAAAATTCGATTCGGAAGAACAAAGGATCATTGACAGAATAAAATGCATTGCCTTTCGAGAGGCACCTCGTTTGAATGCTGTTCGAAGGGCTAATGGTGGTCATACTGACTATTAAATCGTGTCAATAAACTCAGTTTTTTATGGGCTTTCGAATGGTGTATGAATTATTTGTGTTGTTATTACAAGTGTTGCTGTGACCCCCTAGGAAAAGGTTATGCCCCGCCCTGTACACCTTAGGTCAATCATTTATGTTGACCTAAAACCACATCCGTTGCATTTCTCTATTACTTTCACCAAGCAAAGACATACATTCCAATGCAATAGCCATTGTATACATATGAAATCTATAATATGCATCTGAATCACCATAGAAGATAGCAATATGCAGTATTACTATTGGAATAATTTTAACATTCAGAGTTTTTATTGCAAGTAGTCCTGAAATATTGAGTAACAGATACTGTGAGTTGAAAAAAAAATCAAGTAAATAGGTAAGCAAGCATATGATAGCAAATAAGCCTTAAATATGAAGGGGGAGGGGGTTGATATTCCAAAGCAATGGTCAGAATCAGGTAAAGCTAGGATTCTGTCATAGCACTACCTTCACAAAAAGCCACACTCTGTTGTGTAACAAGGCCTTGGACTTTGATTCCTGTAAATAACCAGAATAAAAACTAACTCAGAATTCCCTTCTCCAAGATTACATCTTATCAAATTGTTTTGCCAAATAATCTTTAATAAGTAGCTGAGAGAATAATTGCATTATTTAACCAAAGGAAGTGCTACCTGAAAATTGTTTCTAGCTGCATAGTAGTTTAGCTGGAAGCAACAGCACAACAGAAGGGAAAGTAGATTGTTTATACCTAGTGTTTGGGAACTGATGCAACAGGATGTCCTTGTTTTTCATTGACAGGTCGTTCACCTTATCAATGATGTTGAACCTTATCACCAGATATGAAGCAACAGAATTTGGGAAATAACAAGTTTCTAGAGCAAAGGGAGAACAGAAACAGCTATCAGATTCAGACAAAAAGTGAGAGACTGCAAAACCATTTAAAATCTTTTCTATTTTGTCCTACATCATTTTTGGCAGGGTGGGAAACTGTGCATTTCAATTATATATATATACATATAAAATATATTTTGTTTGATTGCTGGAATCAGCTTTCAGTTGCAAATGCATTGATTAGAAATTACTGCAAAGAGCTAACCAAGACATAAACAGACTTCACTGGATTGCTGTTTTTCCTAAACAGTTCCATGCCATTAATACATTGCTAATAAAAATAACTTTTAGAAATAATTATGTTAATGGAGTATTCATTCAATATCTTTATACTAAAAGAACAGTTAAAAATCACAAATGGATAAAAACAATGCGGCAGAAACAAGCCATAAATTCCTGGAAATTATAAAAGATTATGAAAGAACAGCAGAATATGTAGATTTAAGTATGAAACTCCCATTAATCTAAATAGAGAAAAGAGACATATACTTGAATTTGATAAAATCAACTCAACTTGAATAAGTTTTTACTAATTTCAGATGTGTGATTTTTATAATAGGACAGGTGGTAAAAGTCAGAAAAAAATAAGCATAGCATTTCTTGGTTTCAGATAAATCATGACAGAAGAGGGCAGACAAAGAATAAAAGAGAATGAAACTCCCAACTGCAAGTATAAATATTTTATTTAGTGCAAAGCATTTTAAAAAACCATATTCCTGATCTGCTCTGCAAAACTAATTCTATCAATAGCAAGAATATTATTCATGAACAATTAAGAAAAAGGCAAAAAGTATACACTATGTATAGAGTAGCTGTTTTCTGAACAATGAATATATTGGATGAAGAAGTCAATACCATATTCACTCATTTCATGTCATGAATGTTTTAAATTATTTAAAGCCACTGGAATTATAAACACATTCCATCAACCTTTGCTTAATATTAACACATATGATTGCTTAGAGCAGCTCAAACAGCCTTCTAGTATCATTCCATGAAATTACATACATGAATTGTAGCATGAGGACATCACTTAGTTACTTTGTGGAATTATATAACTACGATGTTTCACACAAAAACAATTTTGGTCCAGATTTATCATATACCGGTAGAATAATGCATGGGTTGAGGAAAATAGTGTACAAATCAATTAAAACATATATAAAGCATAGACCAGATAGATGCTAAAGCTGGGTACAAAAATTCTATTTCACAATGATTTTTCCATGTTAAAAAATGAATGTGAGGAATAAGTGTAAAAACTGAAGAGAGTCTCTTTTATTGGTGTTCAGAAACAAGTAGTTATTCACGCCTTGGAAACAAATATCTGTATATAGTTTAGAACATGAAGCTAAATATACAAACTAAGTAGAAGAAGTATGCTCATTATACTTCATTTGATACCCAAGTATTCAGAAGCAAGTTGTGGATCCTCTTCTCTAGTATGTACAGAATGTTCTAATTCTCTTCTCACACCTAAGTGGTCCCACTTGGGCTTAAGCATGTGGATCAACAGCTGATCTCTGCATATAGCTGCCTTATGATGGGAAGTAAGGGATCAATACCAGCTTTCAACATCTGCAACTCATGATATTTTAAATGTTCAAGTCAAACATTGATACAGTGTTATATTTCCATATAAATAAACATTGTTTATTTAGCAAAGAGATAACAATTTGTTATGAGATCTCCAAAGAGCCACTAACATTTCTAATCTTATTGTGATATTTTTGGTTACCATTTAATTTCCCTCAAACAGAGACTGCAGACTTAATTTTCCCACAAAACAAATTACATTGGGTTATATGCATCTTTGACCTTGCAATAATAATTAACTGAAAAACTTTCTAACAGAAAGAGCAATTCAGCACTGAAATAAATTATCCCGAGAGATGTTTAGCTCTTCCTTCATAGGAAGTGTTCAAGCAAAGGCTGGAAAGTAATCAATCTGGGATATTTTAATTTGTATAGCTACAATGAACAGTGGGTGGTCTTAATGGCCTAAAATTAAATAGCCCTTGCCACCTCTACGATTCAATTAATTCATGTATTGCACTATGGGAGTACATATTTACTCCCTAATAACTCACAGATGAAATAAGCCAGAGAAGGAAAAAAACACTTTTTTTCTTAGCTACTATTCTAGATGGATGAACAGACAAAAAGAAATATAACTCCCCCCCCCCAATTCTGTCGGAACAACTCCTTCCATCGCCCCCGTTGTCTGGCAACCTTTTTTTTTTCATAGTCTAAGTTTGCTTGTGTGGAAGTGTCTCATCACAATTTATAAAGATCCACTGTATTATATTTTGAACATTAACTAAGCCCATTTCAAAAGGTGTATAATCTTAGTTTAGATTTCTTTAATATCTGCTAAATATTTAGCAAATTGAAACATTCTTATTGGATTTTAATTTCTGCAAATTATAGTCATTTCCCTTTGTTTAAATCAAAAACTCTTTAGTGAAAACTTTATTATGTTTAAATTGAATTTTCATTGCAAATGATTGGGCGCTGTCTAGTCCAATGTGATTTAGCTACTAGTACTATAAATCTTGTAAATCATTTCTGTAAACAGTAATATGTCACGGTGATTGTATTTTGTCTGATTTCATGCAAGACAAGAATAAGTCACTTAGATTAGGGTTAATATTCTCAATTTTTCTAAAAATGAATATATACCACCCATTCTGTTTTTGTTTATACAACCTGAAATTATCTTTCTATGGGTAGATGCTCTAGCTATATGATAAATTGCAGAAAACTGAGCATTTCATCAGGTTATGGCTACTAATCACTCCAGACAGGGGGAAAAATACTAACAAATGTACATATTATTCCTTAAATAGGAATCTTTTGTCTCTGATGCAATGATACCATCATAAGAAACACCCCCCCACTTGCAAAGATTGGAATTTTCAGGAGTTTAAATTATCTAAAGTAAAGAAAGTTGCTTGGTTGGTATAAAGTTTTATAGTCTTTGTGAGCTATAGAATTTTGCAGATACTCATTGAAAAGTGCTGCAGAGAAATTTCCTTTTCAGAATACGGAAAACTTGCAGAAATCCTGTAAAACCTTCACACTTTAGTACAGTATTATTTCTCTATACAGTATTGCACTCTAGGCAGGCAGAAGTATGCCCACATGGGGCCCTCTAATAATTATTCCAATATTTAATGTTTTCCTAGAAATTCATAAAGTTTACCAAAGGACTCAAAATTGTGCAAGCCATTATATTCTCTGTGACGCTCTATGGAAGTGAAAGCTGGAATTCAAAGAAGCAGGATAGGGAGAATGTTGACACCTTTGAACTTTGGTATTGGAAACTCTTAATAATACCATGGACAGCCAAGAAAAAAAACCCAATGATTCATTGAACAAATCAACCCAGAGTTCTCATTTGACGCAGAGATGACCAGGTTCAAATTATCCAACTTTAGACATTTTACAATTTACACAAATACCCAATTCTCTGGAAAAAGTGGAAAGAAAAAAAAAGGATGACCAACAAGGTGGTTGGACTTAGTTAAGGTGGCAATGAGTGCAACATTGAGACACTTGAAAGAACAGGTTAGGAATACCCTATAATGGAGAAGATCTGTGGTCACTAGGAGTCAAAAACAACTTGATAGCACATCATCAATTATCAAATGAACTTTGATAATTCTTAAATTTGTGTATTGTCATTAGTCATTCCATCCCATACATAATTCAGAAATTCCAGTTATCTTGACAGAGAAGCGGTATACTTATTGAGTATGGAAAATATGATGTTTGAGGGAAGGCCTTCCCACCTTCTATAATGTGTAGCATTCCAGCATCTTTTGAATTTCCTGTGCCAAGAATGCACAAGCATATACATGGAAGGCGTACAGGTTAGAAGGTTGGCTTCTACTGAATAGGGCTCAATTCCTTGACCCTGCATGACAAACATTCCCCTTCTACAATAAATAATAAAGTTTGGAAACTCCCATTTTCTACCTTGCGTTAATATTCATCAGTGAGCACAACTATTATCCAGAGACATCCCATGTTCTAAACCACAGCAATGGTTTGGGTTTAATCTATTGTGTGAAGCTGGCCACTATGGTCTGTAAACCAATGTTTTGTCAGATGTGAACTCAGTAAAATGTGATTTGCCCAATTAAACCACACTTACGTAAACCCAGCAATTAGTACACTGTATGGGGCTAAGCATTGAAAGTAAAATGCTTTGAATACCACCAAAAGAAGATCTGGAAATACTATTAGGAGAGATCCTGAAGAGATCCAGAGGAGGAAGTCTGCTCTCACCATTCTTTGATTCTAGGGCAGTGTTTCTTAACCTTGGCCACTTGAAGATGCCTGGACTTTAACTCCCAGAATTCTCCCAGCCAGCTGGCTGGGGAATTCTGGGAATTGAAGTCCGGACATCTTCAAGTGGCCAAGGTTGAGAAACACTGCCCTAGAATCAAAGAATGGTGAGAGCAGACTTCCTCCTCTGGATCTCTT